TGTACAAAAAAGTTGTAGCTACAAGTTGTAGAACTTCACGGGGCCACCTGAACTAAGACATGGGCTGTCTGGGCTGATGGGCTTCAATACAGAGACTCGTAGGCACATGTATACTTAGTACATGACTGTACGATACGATATAGTACGAGTAGAATGATAGAACGGGGAAGCGGCAGACAAATGGTCGCACAGTTGGCAGACAGACAGACAGACAGACATAATGTAGTACTTCCGCTGCCAACAGCAGCAGCGGGTGCGAGTCTCTGTCTCTGTCTCTGAGAAGTACATAAACTTGTCTGCGCCTCAGACTCGGCACAGCTTTGTGGGTCTTAGGGTGCTTGTGCTATTGATTTGTAGTTCATTCCAGTGTTTTGCAACAACAAAAAAAAGAAGGACATCGAGCCATAAAAATACGAATAGTTCAATGTTAAAGGTAGAGGAGTGTTGCGGTTTCAGATTGAAAATTATCAATAACTTGCGAAATCTTAATAACTGGGATAGCTCTTCAATATTTGCAAATAAAAACTAGAACGTAGAATTGAGGACATTTTTCATGTTATTATTCAATTCACACTATTTTAGATATAGCTACTCAGCGAAAAAATATTGTCAGCATTTAAAATGAAATTCTTAAATGTATATATACTTATATATATCTTGCGATTTCAAATTAAAAATGATCAATAACTTGAGAAATCTGAACAACTGGCATAGCTCTTCAAAATTTGAAAATAAAAACTAGAACGTAAAATTGAGGACCTTTTTCATTTTAATATGTATTTAATTTAAATAATATTAATAATATATAGCTACACGGCGAAGAAATCTTTATGTTAAAAATATTCTTAGCATTAAAGATAAAGATATTGCCATATGCTGTGTACAAGATGAATTACAGATGGATTCCTTCACATTTATAAATAATGCCAGTTTGCATATTTAAGGATATTTATGAATTAATTCAAAATTGGCACATGGGGATATAAAGGGTTAAATGTATATTACAAGTATTGATCTAAGAGCTAGATTCTGAGAACAAAAACCACACTGACTTCATTATTTCGACACACAATTGATAGCAGAAGCTTGTGGTTTGTGCTCAAATTTTTTAAATATTGAATGGGACATAAGAGTGGATAATAGAGCAGACAGAAGGACAGAAATCTTTAACGAGCTCCAACATAAGGAGATGGGCGGAAAACAAATTATTTTTAAATTCACTTATACTAAAAAATTTAAAAAAAAAATTGAAAATTTGCTAACTTTTTTGTAAAAATTAAATAAATTCCATCAAATTTTACTACAAAATGTATGTTTTTAAAATGAAATGAGCAATTAATGTATATATATATTAGCACATATATTAATACACATCTAATATGTGTATTTACTGGCAGCGCTCTTGCATTGCGAATCGAAAGCTCTCTCAGAGAGGCGGAGTAATAAATATGTTATGTGTTACTTACAGCTGGTGGATGCACGTCCAAAAGATCTGCTGCCAGAAAGGTTGCTAGATCAAAAAAGAAACGTTACGCGAGAGAGGCGGCCGATGGCACTACAAATTGCGGTAAATCTTCCTTTCTCTTCTTTTTCTTTTTTCGTTATTTATTTATTTTTTGCGCACTATTAGTTGTATATACTTTTTTAGAACACAAAACACAAACACAAAAAAAAAAAAAAAATAAAGGCCACACGTGCCTGCTCTTTGTCGATTTTAGAAGTTATGCCTTTTGAGGGTTAGGGGTCGCAAACAATTAAAATAAATGCCGCACATCAAGCTGCCCAAGCATTATTTTCGTGGCCATACTACAATTTTATAAATTTTGCTTATCTAAGCCTATTTTTTTTGTCACTTAATTGGGTTCTGGCATGGAGTGAAAAAATAACAGGCGACTGTCGATCTTAGAGCACGGCGGAGAACTGATGCCTATACCGGCTTCACAGTTGAAGTGGTGCAGAGAGGTTCCTTTTAAACGGTATGCTCAGACTCCACTTGTAGCGCCAATTCTGAAATTAAAAGAGAGACCTTATTTTAGCAAAAATATAAATTTGAATAGAATAGTAACCTCAAATGTCCCCTAATGGAGTGTATCTAGCTGCAGCTTCGAACGCTCGTTCTAAAATAAATTTCATTTATACGAGAGCACAGTCGACAGATTTAAGAGCTGTAATAATTATTATCTACGCAATTTATGTTTTGTGTATATCAGTTTTATTGAATGCTGCAAAACATAAGTACAATACACATAAGTAATTATCGCGGAAGGACACTAAAAATGGCACTGCCTAACAAACTATTACATAGCCCATAAATGAATTTCTGGCCACTATTAATTGAAATATCAATAAATGAAATAGAATGCTGCAAAAGAGATGATAAAAGTCTAATAAGTTTCACAAAATATTCATAATCTATTTTACAAATATTTATATATTTGAATTCCCATTCATGTTTATAAACTCTTTCTGACTCAACAACAAAAATTTAATTACTTTTTGTCTGTCCGTCTGTCTGTCCGTATGAACATCTGGATCTCAGAGACTAAGAGCTAGAGACACCAAATTTTGCACAAAGATGCCTTATGTGTGTATTCTATACGAGTTTGTTTTATTTTTTTGATCCCCCCCCCCCTCCACTTCCCCCTTATGCGGGTTTTCCCAATTTTCCATTCGTATAATCGCCTATATCTCGGAGACTATAAGACCTAGGAACACCAAATTTTAGTCCAAGATGTCTCATATAAAAACACGCAGAAAATGTATTTTGTATTTCCCTCCCTTCCCTCTCTCCCCGCAATTAGTGATTTTCTATAGCTCCCGTAATTCTAAGAATTTTGGACTCATATTTCCAGTTAGTGATTATAAATCCATATGTCAAGTTTTACCATGATAGACCGATTTATCAGAAAGTTATAGCCATAAATATAATTGCTGTCCAAGCACTGTCAACAGCTTGTTTGGTTTATGTTGGTGCTTTGGTTGACTGCAAACATGCTCACACAGACACGAACAGACACGAACAGACACGCATAGACATGCAAAATTTGTTTTATAATTTTGTTAATTTTTTTAACATTTATAATTATTCTAAGCATACATATGTACTCTACTTGTTTTATTACGTTATAGGCGTCTTACCACAGCAGTTGGCAGCATTGTTGTATTAAGCCTTCTAGCCTTGGCTGATATAAGTACTTACGATTACTTATTTTGGGAAGTCAGCTTTAATTTTGTTCACGGTACATAAAGTTTGCGTAATGCTGAATGTTTCGGGGATTGCTGACCCGTCATTTTTCCGAGCAAGTCCAGCTTGGATCTGCCTTACAAATTGGGTCCCCACGGCGATGGTGATGGTGATGGCGATAATAATATTTAACAGTCTGCCATTCTTACACTCTGACTGTTATCATGAGGTGTGTGTGTGTGTGTGTTGGAGGGGGAGGGGTCTCCAAATTTATAATTGCGTCCATATTTTCTTACGGGCTTGTGTCAGCGGCAGCTTTCGTTTGTTGCACGTTTCATAACCATAACAAATTACTCAGGTCATCAATTATGGGCGCTCGCTCCTCACACCTCCACCAGCCCAAGCCAGCCCAGCTCAGCTCAGCTCGGCTCGACAGTTGAACTTTTTGGTGCGGAGTGGAGTGGAGCGGAGCGTCGCGTCGTTGATGTTTTTATTGCTTTCATTATGATTTCAAGTTGAATTGGGCACGTTTCTCGACCCAGTAGAGCCCGTGCAGAGGGGGCGGGGGCCAGACAATTCTGAGGCCCATTTGTCTAACTCACGACGCTTGACTTGCTCTTCGGGTGTTAATAATGTTATCTTTTATTTATATGAGTTTACCTTTAAATTTTAAGAGCTCTGCGCCACTGTTGTCGTCTGGATGTGTGTGTTTTTATACTCTGTACATGAAATGTACAGAAGTATATTAGGTTTACGGGAGCTGAAAATGTAACAGGCAGAAGGAGGCGTGGCAGACCCCACAAAGTATATATATTCTTGATCAGCATGACGAGATGAATCGATCTAGTCGATCCAGTCCTGTCTGTCCGTCTGTCTGTCCGTCTGTCCGTCCGTATGATCACCTACATTTCAGAGACTATAAGAGATAGAGACACCAAGTTTTGCACAAAGATGCCTTATGTGTGTATTCTATACGAGTTTGTTTTATTTTTTTGATTCCCCCCCCCCCCCACTACCCCCCTATGGGGGTTTTCCCGAGTTTCCATTCGTATAATCGCCTATATCTCGGAGACTATAGGACCTAGGAACACCAAATTTTAGTCCCAGATGCCTTATGTGAATATGCAGAAAATGTATATTTTGGAATTTCCCTTCCTCCCCCCTCTCCCATGCAAATTGCGATTTTCTCTAACTCCCGTAATTCTTGGAATTTCGAACTAAAATTTTGCAAATACCCCCAGTTAGTTATTATGATGATATGATAGACCAATTTAACAAGAAGTTATAGCCATAAATACATTTGCTGCTGTTGTTGATGTTGCTGTTTGGTTGACTGCTAACATGTTTTCACAGACACGAATAGATGCGCATAGGCATACATACACTCACACAGACGCAATTGCTATGTAAATGTACAATTATAAACCCTTTTCGTGAGTTTGAATACCGAGAGAGGTAAAATCGATCAATTTTTTTTTTTTATTTTTCTTAATTTTTTTTTTGTTTTCTATAATTATTGTAAACATATGTACAGAGTATTCCAAAGTCGGGACAGCCGACTTTAGCTTTTTTACTTGTTTTTTCTTCTCTTTTTTTCCATTCAAACTTTTGTCTTAAATGTAATTGCATTTTGTTTACCTTTTTGGCATGGGCTCGTCAGCGGTTTTGATGTCAAAAGTTTGCAAGCTTTACAATTGCCTACCCACACAGATATGTACTTCTGGTTTGAAAATCGTGCCCGCGTGGCCAGCATTTGTGTGCTGTGGAGATGGGTGGTGTGGTGTGGTTACAATTTGGAAGAGACACGTTTTATGTATATAATAATAAATAATTCAGTTATATTTCAATAAATTACTTAAACAAACTTTCTTAAAAAGATTGCAAAACAAACAAAGTGCCATGGACTATGCGCTAATGTAATACGGAGAGGAACAAGCACCAGCTAGGGCTGCCGTCTAGGGCCGGTAGACGTAGGGACCGCCACAGTTCTTCAAGCACATATAGTTGGGACGAGTGCGCCACTTCCGGCAATAGCGACGATAGCACTTATTGGGGTTGGGAGTTGACGGCTCCTCAGTTGGTGGGTCAGTTGGTGGGCCGGTTGGCGGGTAAGTTGGTGGCTCAGTTGGGGGCTCAGTTGGTGGCTCAGTTGGAGGCTCAGTTGGTGGCTCAGTTGGGGGCTCAGTTGGGGGCTCAGTTGGTGGGCCAGTTGGTGGTGCGGCAGTTGCACAATTTTCACCCGCTTGACTTATTATCGTGTTCAGTAAGCTTATTTGCGCCATTATGGTCGCATCAATGTTAATCAGGCTGCCGACATCGGTGGCATCATCATCAGCTGTAAATGCATACAAAATATTAGTTAATCGCCCGTAAAAACATATTGCTATCAATAGCCGCTACTTACTTTCAACTACATTGCCCAATTGATTGCTTGCACCACAGCCGCTTGACGTGACTGTGTTCAGCAAACTTAATACAGCAAGGACTTGAAGGTTGATGTTGACCAGCTTCTTGATGTTGCCATTCTCGTCCAGAATGATTTTGCCAAGACGGCCGGGCAGTAGAGCGCCGCCCAGACCCAAGAGGCTAAACAAAGCGTTACCCTCATGATCAACTACTTGCACCACGTTGCTCAGCAAACCAGTAACGGTTTGTAACACGCCGTCGACCACTCCGCCTACACCTAGACCGTCAACTACGCCGCCGACAGTCCCAACGACACCTTCGACAGTGCCTCCGACAGTCCCAACGACACCTTCGACAGTGCCAACGACACCACTGAGAGTGTCACCGAGAGCCCCGCCGGTAAGCCCGCCCAGTAAGCCTCCGGCACCGCCCGCACCGCTCGAGCCACTGCCGCCCTCAGATCCTCCTGTAGCCTCCACCTTATTAAGAATCGGCAAAGATGCAAGCACCGGTACATTCGCCCCGATAAGGCCACCGCCAGTCGAACCTTTGGAAGATTTTGCTGCGAAATACACAACAAATGAGTTTCTTTGGCTTGAATAGCTGATATATTCTCTTACCAATTAGAGTGTTGCCCAAGTTGTTGCTCGCACTGCCAGCACCACTTGTGCTTGAAGCACCAGAGGCAGAACCACCGGTGGCTGTTACACTGTTGAGAATGGGCACAGCAGCCAATATAGGTAGGTTCACGTTAGCAAGCCCACTGCCACTCGAACCTTTTTTTGCTGTGAATTAAAAGTAGGAATACGGATTGCTGGGGCTTCTTAGAGATCAAATATTATAGACTCAATTACCGATCAGAGTGTTGCCCAAGTTGTTGCTCACATTGCCAGCACCACTTGTACTTGAAGTTCCAGAGGTTCCAGCGGCACCAGAACCACCGGTGGCTGTTACACTGTTGAGAATTGGCACAGCAGCCATTACAGGTAGGTTCACGTTAGCAAGCCCACTGCCACTCGAACCTTTTTTTGCTGTGAATTAAAAGTAGGAATACGGATTGTTGGGGCTTCTAGAGATATAATATTATAGACTCAATTACCGATCAGAGTGTTGCCCAAGCTGTTGCTCGCACTGCCAGCACCAGAAGCACCAGAAGCACCAGAGGTTCCAGCGGCACCAGAACCACCGGTGGCTGTTACAGTGTTGAGAATTGGCACAGCAGCCATTACAGGTAGGTTCACGTTAGCAAGCCCACTGCCACTCGAACCTTTTTTTGCTGTGAATTAAAAGTACGAATACGGAATAAGTGAGGCTTCTTAGAGATCAACTATTTAAGACTCAATTACCAATTAGAGTGTTGCCCAAGCTGTTGCTCGCACTGCCAGCACCACTTGTACTTGAAGTTCCAGAGGTTCCAGAACCACCGGTGGCTGTTACACTGTTGAGAATTGGCACAGCAGCCAATATAGGTAGGTTCACGTTAGCAAGCCCACTGCCACTCGAACCTTTTTTTGCTATGAAATAAAAGTAGGAATACGGATTAGTGGGGCTTCTTAGAGATCTAATATTATAGACTCAATTACCGATCAGAGTGTTGCCCAAGCTGTTGCTCGCACTGCCAGCACCACTTGTACTTGAAGTTCCAGAGGTTCCAGCGGCACCAGAACCACCGGTGGCTGTTACAGTGTTGAGAATTGGCGCAGCAGCCATTACAGGTAGGTTCACGTTAGCAAGCCCACTGCCACTCGAACCTTTTTTTGCTATGAAATAAAAGTAGGAATACGGATTGTTGGGGCTTCTTAGAGATCAAATATTATAGACTCAATTACCGATCAGAGTGTTGCCCAAGCTGTTGCTCGCACTGCCAGCACCAGAGGTTCCAGCGGCACCAGAACCACCGGTGGCTGTTACAGTGTTGAGAATTGGCGCAGCAGCCATTACAGGTAGGTTCACGTTAGCAAGCCCACTGCCACTCGAACCTCTTTTTGCTGTGAATTAAAAGTAGGAATACGGATTGTTGGGGCTTCTTAGAGATCAAATATTATAGACTCAATTACCGATCAGAGTGTTGCCCAAGTTGTTGCTCGCACTGCCAGCACCAGAAGCACCAGAAGCACCAGAGGTTCCAGCGACACCAGAACCACCGATGGCTGTTACAGTGTTGAGAATTGGCGCAGCAGCCATTATAGGTAGATTCACGTTAGCAAGCCCACTGCCACTCGAACGTTTTGAGGATTTTGCTGTGAAGAGATCGGACATGGTATTGGGAATTGAATTATTTGGATGATGCTGTATAAGCAAGTTTGATGTAAATGTTACCTATTAAAGTATTTCCCATAGAGTTGACCGCATTACGACCACCAGTAGCACCACCAGTAGCACCACCTGAAGCACCGCTAGCGACGACGGTATTGCCAATCGGCGCACTAGCCATTATGGGGACAGACGCACCAATGAGGCCAGAGGTTTGAGGCCCATTTGCTGCAAATTGAAAGCAAACAAACAAATTACAACCCAATCGAATAGGTATTGGATAGCGCTGAGTTACCTATTAGAGTATTTCCCAAATCGTTGCGTGCGTCAGACCCTACCGTGTTGATGGAGTTGCCGCCGCCAGATGGCTTGTTTAGGGCACTCAGTACTCCTAGGCAAACAATCGCCGGCACATTCATTTTTAGGAGATTTACGATCCAATTATCGCTTGTGGCCGCGCAGGTAGGTGAGGGCTGGCCATTCGCTATGTTTATCAAACCATCGAGGAGTCGGGTAATCAAAATAATAATGATATCTTTCTTATTGGCAACGAGGCTAGGATTGGAACCCACTGCAATGGAGATGTTTTATGTTGGTCATCTATTATCAGAGAAGCCATTATCCATTTAGTTTACTTACACTGAGCCAGAATTTGTGCAATGCTCTGAACCTCCGCAGCGGGTGTTGCACACATTTGAAGCAGAGCGTTTAAAATCACATTCAACTGCGGCAAGGGACGGGCCTTCAGGAACTGTATAACCATATCTTGATCTGTAACAACAGATGTTTGTGGCACTCCTTGTTGTGTGGCGAGGGCTGTGCGGACGCTGCGACTGCCCTCAGACGATGCCTTGAGTCCTGTGCTGCTCTTGATAATTTGGACGACTTCCTTCTTGGAGCACTCGATGCCATTGAAGGAGCAGAGCGCGAGGAAAGCCTTGAGCCCCAAACTGAGATTCGTCTTATCCATGCTCTTCTGAATTTCGTTGATGATGCGACCGCAAGTGGCGCCGCTGCGTGCACCAACCAGTACATCGACGACCACATCTAGGGGTACTATCAGCACCACCTCCTCGCCCTTCGCCCCCTTTGGCGAATCTTTGCGAAGCAGCGAGTCCACAGTATCCTGTTGCTTTTCGCTCAACTTTATGCCGCGTGCCTGCATGCTAGCCAGCAGCAGATCGGCCAGATCCTTGGCCGCCAGGCTACCCACATTGGTGGTACGCTTCGGAGTCGCGGAAATTGTTGGGTCCCGAGTCGTGGGCTTGGCATCGTACGGTATGAGGAAGCAGGTCGATAGCAAAAGGAATAAATTAAGACGCCACATCTTGTCCAACTGGATCAATGAGCGCTCTGCGTTTAGTATTCTCGTAACTCTCGTAATGCCCACTGCAACTGAACATTTGATAATGGCTATCGAGCCGATGGAGCTGCGCTTTTATGCAAATCGATCAGTCCAGAACTTGATGCTCTGCTGCTGCCTCGGCCGGCTCTGCTGCATCTTTTTGTGCAGATTCTTATCAGCCATCATTGTGGTCTGCTCTGTGAGTAAATGCGTGATGCGAATCGGTCTCAGTTCTCGTTGTCGTTCTCGGCTCACACATGGGTGATAGCGTCCATTTCTCAGATAACGCCGTACACATACTTATATACAGGTATGTAATTATGTGGGTAATTATGTGACTTACATATGGCATCGGCATGCCGCAAACGTGCTTGCGACACACCATTAAAGCGGCACACGCGCATTTTTGTTGCATGTTTTGTCATCACTTTATTTCTCTTTGTACGTATCACAAAGATGGGTTCTGTGCGTAAACAACAGACGCTGCATAGACATACTATTATGTATATGTATATGCTAGTACTAGATACGATAAAGCCAATTTTGAACGTCATATATAACAAGAAAGGAATGCTAAGGTCGAACAGGCTCAACTCTTAAATACCCTTTACCACCCCACAAAAAAATAAATTTATTTAATTTAATTAATTAATTAAATTAAATTAATTTAATTAATTAACTAAATTAAATATAAAATATTCCATACATGCATACATACAGGAGAATCATTCAGGAGAATCTAGATACCAAGTTTAGTTATTCTAGGTCTTATACTTTCTGAGATCCTTGCGTTCATACAGACAGACGGACAGGCGGACATGGCTATATCCACTCGGGTTGTCATGCTGATCAAGAATATATATACTTTGTGGGGTCTGCCACGCCTCCTTCAGTGTGTTACACTCGCACAAAACTAATATACCCCTTTTACCCTACGGGTACAGGGTATACAAATATTCACATTTTACTTTAGATCCTGCATTGGCTGTTATGTGCGCTATGGTTGGAAATCGTGGATCAAGGACTAAAAAAAGGCGCACTTGGGCACAAAAGGAAAAGTTAATCCTTAGACTGCTGCTTTGGTCGAGAAGATTGGTGTGGCAGCCAAGTGCCTGAGAGTGAGAGCTCAACCAGATTGGCAAGAATATTACCGCCTTAGTTTCCCCCTTTCTATAGAAGAAACAGAAAGAACGCACTGGATCTGAGCTCCTAATAGAATTATCTATTTCTACACCGGAGTTAAAGTTTGGCAAAGATTTAAATATTATTAACAACGTTTTTGCACCGCTGTGGTGGTCATGGCTTTATTCGCCTTTCGCCAAACTTTTGGATACGATTCGCAAAAATGATTTTTTTTTTTTTTAATTAAAATTTAGTTAAATACAAATACAACTTAAACTAGGTGTTCAGCCTTATTTACAATTTAACATTTATAATTTATATAAATCTGTTGGGACCATAATTGTTGTATTTGGAATCGTCACTAAAAATATAATTTCCAATACACGGATCGGGCGTGCAACATTATTATCCATTGGTAATATTAAAATTGTTGTAAATATATATACACCTAATTCTGTATTTACACGTTCTTCTTTTACACGATTTTGATACAACACGGTTTGAAAATTATAAATTCGTATATATTTCTTTAGAGATAAGGAACCAATCACCTATTTTTGCATATGATCAATGTCTTTTTTTACACGGTTTTACACGGTTGCTTCTGGAACCAATCTACCGTGTAAAAATAGAATGAAGTGTATATACGTCCGAAAGCTTAAAGTGTTTGTGATGGCTATAATAGTATATTGAAGAGCTTATATATGTAACAGAAAGAGGTGTGGTAGACCCCATGTTATGAGTGATGCGTCGATATACCCGTGTCCGTCTGTTCAGCTGTCCGTCCGTATGAACACCGATAACTCTTCTACCCTAACAGCTAGAAACGCCCAACTTGGTGTGTAGGCTTGTCTTATCCATATGCAAAGCAAGTTTATTGCAAACCACATAAACGCTCATTATGTTATATAGCTGCCATAAGGAAGATTGGTTGAAAAATCACTCTTAGTAAGGAAACTTATTTCCAATATGTTCGACGCTAAAATAGGCATATATTTCCATATAGAGATAGTAGAAATACGTTATAGCCGACTTTAAATATCCATTAATGCGTACACAAAGAGTGTAACCACAATTTGTAGACTTTAAAGTGGACGCTTCTTATACCCTCTAACTAGTCTTAATGCCAAATGAATGTAACAGCCAGAAAAAAACAGAAGACGGCCTGACAGGCGCCATCTTATATATGTATATCTACATATGATCAATGTTACCAGATGAAACGATAATGGCATTCTGTCTGTTTGTCCGCATTTGAACTTTTGAACCATAATAGCGACTTGGACTTGTCTTATCTGTACGCAGAGACAGTTAATTAAAAACCACACATATAGCTGCCATAGAAACGATTGGTATAAAAATCTTTCTTAATAGAATAACTTTTTTGTTTTTAAAAAAATCATGAGAAAATGTTGTAATTTATAAAATTTTTTCTTGTCGTAGGAAATAATAATAAATAATAATTATATAATTAATGACAAATTTCGATAATTAAGCAAGACAGTAAAAATTGCTCAGCATACGATTTCCCATTTCCTTTTCTTTTCTAGCAATGCGACGTTGGGCTTTCATAAATTGATAATAAACTACTACCCGATAGTCTCCATAAAAATAAATAAATAAATAAAAATGTTAATTAGTTTAATATTATATCTCATAATATTCTGAAGTTTTAAAAATATCGGCTTAATATATCATATAGCTGTCATAGAAACAATCGATGCAGAAATCAGGCTTAGTGCCATAAGCTTTTTTTATTTATTAAGTTACGTTATTAAGTTCTTTATAGTGTCTCACACTAATCTGAATTATTTTTATCAAATCGTCTTACTCTATATAGCTGCAATAAAAACTATCTGTACTGAAATCACACTTAGAATACGCATACACCTAATAATAATAATTCTGTTTTTACACGGTAGATTGGTTCCAGAAAAAGTCATTGGGCGCGTTCCCCAGGTCGTAGCGATTTGTGATTTGTGATCGATCATATTTTCATTACTTACATTTTCCATTGTCCATTATTAATGTGACCAATTATCTAAAACACAGTGAAACTTAATGTTTACCTGCGACTGTGACTTTTTGTCAGAAAATACTAAAATCACAAAATTTTTATAAAACAGTCATCACAAGCGGTTTCCAGATCAAAATTCAACAATCGGAAAACATAAATCACAAATCGCTACAACCTGGGGAAAATTTACATAAAAAAAAAACTGTGTAAAAAAGACATTGATCATATGTTATTTTAAATATATAAAAGTGTTTATTTTCAAACCGTGTTAAATCAAAACCGTGTAAAAACAGAATTATGTGTATATCACACAAATGTCATGGAACTGTTGATTTCATTTAATTGGCTTTAGCGGACAAATGGTTGGGTGCAGGGTATTTAAGAGTCAGACCGGCACGACTTTAACATTCAACTCGTCAAATGCAATTGAAAAAAAAAAGCAGTAACACAATTGTGTTGGACAGTGTAGAATGAACACCGATTTGTACGGGTTTGGTTGAGTAGTTGAAGCAGAGTCTGCAATTGGACGGCCGTGCTTGTGGCCTTGCTTGCCATGTCTTCAGGTTTCAGCAGCGCCCATTGATGCTCATACTACTCGTACTCCATACATTCATTCATTCATTCATTATTTCGCTTCGCCGCTCTTATACGCCGCACGAGTGGCATTATGAGCGCAATTGAAAAGCTCGGCTCAGTCGCTTAGGTCGGTGCATTGACATCGCAGTGCCAAGCAAGTGATGATAGCAGCTGGCCAAGCTCTGGTGCTAGGTCAGCTGGGGTGTCCAGATAAACGAGAGCCGAACAAATACAACAATTAGAATCGGACCCGGTCAACAACAAGTGTTGATCTTGGCCCCATTATCTGGCTGTATGTAAGTTGCGAGCCAAGCACGTAACTCTACTTGCATATAATTTTGGCTTGGATTCGCTGACAATTCGGCCGACTTCCGCATACAGATTGTTGCACAGCGAAAGCTGCAAAGTGCTGTATAAATACCCCAAACGAGGCTATGTCATGGCCAGTTAGAATTTTGTGAAACAAGCCAATAACATCCGCATCCCCAACGACATGGCAAGCAAGCCAAGCAACCAACTGTTCGCCCTTTTATTTCTGCTCCTCGCACTTGGCAGCTATACTCGCCTCTCCATGGCACAGCCTCCAATAACTTTCAACAGCGTAGACCGTGAGCCCATTTTTAGAATGCTTGGATCTTTCTTAGACTTTTTGGAGAATCAGGAGATGAGTGCAACCACCGTGGCGCCCAGCGTGTCAACAACAGGTGCTGGCGAGCCACAGCTGAACACCACAGTGGTTGACGACACATCAACAACAACAACAACAACAGCGGCGGCGGCGGTCTCAACGACTCCAGAGAGCAGCAGCACTCCCAGCACCACCACTAGTGCCACCACCAGTACCACCACCAGTACCACCACTAGCACCACCACACCACCGCCTACAAGCTCCATTGTCGGGGCACCCATCACAGCCAGATCTCGCGTGTGCTTCAAACGTTTCTGCTACAAATTCAAGAATGATCGGGGCTATATCTACTGAGGAGCTCAGGAACTACTCATTATCGGGGGTATCTTAGACTTGTAGCAGAGCACCACTCTATAAATAAATTGAAAAACTATTAACACAAAATGATGTGTGGCCCATTCATTGAGTTTGAAAAGCTAATTGAAAGGCTTACCAATCTGGATGCACAGTTCAAACAATTGCTTAGCTAATAATATTTGGCATATACAAATAAATATTACTACAATTATTACAACCACTGACTATATACACACACTATGTATGTACACATATATGTTGTATTCATAAAAAGCATTGCAA